GAGGATGGAGCCAGGCTCTTCTCAGTGATGCCCAACGATAGGACAAGGAGCAATGGGTGTGAGCTGGAACACAAGAGGTTCTGCTTAAACTTGAGAAAAAACTTCTTTACTGGGAGGGTAACAAATCACTGGAACAGGCTTTTCAGTTTGGTTGTGGAGTCTCCTTCTCTGGAGACATTCAAGCCCCGCCTGGACACCTTCCTGTGTAAAATTGTTTAGGTTCCTGCTCCAGCAGGGGGATTGGACTAGATGATCTTTCGAGGTCCCTTCCAATCCCCAACATTCTGTGATTCTGTGTGATTCTGTGATTCTGTGACTCAGGGGGCTGAAGACATGCTACAACTTGGCTCCTCTCCCACTCTGCCACTTGATGTTTCACAGTCTAAAGGAAAAAATTAAAAATAATCTTAAGAGCCCTGTTTTGTTTGTGAAATGGCCTCTCCTCCAAAGTATTGAATTAATGCAGTGGTGTATGCTTAGCTCTGACAAAAGCCTGGAACAATAGCTCAGAAAGCCAAGCCTGTTTGTCTGAGTAAAGCACTTAGATGGCTAATGATAATATTTTAGCTGCCAGCACAGATAATGTTGTCATTACTTACTAAAGCATGCAGGAAGATGTGCTTCATGTTTCTTCCTGGATGTACAAAATGGGGGGGTAGCCCATCAGGTGATGCTGAGCAAAAAGGGGACAGGCAGAACAGGGCTGCCTCCCAGCCGTTGGGTGCCATAAGCATCAGGGTAACCTGGGCAAGGTGGGCTATGGTGGGGGAGCTGCCCCAGGAGGTCACCCCGACTCAGCACCCACCTCCTTTCGTCCCTGCAGCATATCTGGCCCATATCAGCATTTCATAGCCAGGCATGGCAGTGGGCAGCGATGGCAAAGCTGCAGGTGGTGTGAGCACAGATCAAGCCCTGTATGACCTTTCTCACCTCCACCTCACTTCTGCCTCTGGAAACGAGGGAGAGAAGGATGCTCCAGCCCCTCTATAGCAAACCCTGGAAATGCCAGGAAAAGCATGTATTGCCTTATTTCTGGAAGCTGAAGGAAAAGTCCTTAAAAAAACAGTCCCAAGCTGGGCTCAATTTCATCTGGTCTCAGCTGTTGTTAGAGCAATATAACATGTCCCCAGTTAGTGGAGACGTGTGTAGGAGCATGTGCAAACCATGCCAGGCTGCAAACCACCGGGCAAAAGTCCACGCTCTGCATTGAGCCAAAGTAATGGAAAGTATAAGAAACGGGATGGTTTCATGTGACCATGACTGTGGCATTTGGATTCAAATCAATGCAAAGTTCAGAGGGTGCCAAGGAGTGTGAAATGAGACTAATCTCAGAGACAGAACAAAAATGTTTTATATAACTTCATACAAATTCAGAGGAGGAAGGAAGGACAGAGAGCTGCTGAGCTTCACAGATAATACCTCAGCCCACATAATAACATCTACCCTTAAATCTTCACAAATATAAAGGAGCTATAAAGGGACCAAGACAAAACCAGTCATGTCTCTCAAACTCCTGGAGAAAGAGCACAAAATGAAACCACCTAGCCTAAAACAGTCCCTTAGAGAAGGTCAGATGACACTGAAGGGGCTTAGCCAGCAGGCAACAAGCTCCAGAGAACGTGGGATCAGTCAGGTCAAAGGCCATGGATAAACCCTCCAATGTTAAACTGATGACAGGGCATGAGGTTTAATGACAACAAGGTTATGAAAGACTTAATCAGGTTGCTGTCCTTTGAATAACCGACTTTAAATCCTGAATGACCAGGGTCCATCTGATGTTAATGAGGAAGGAATTACATAAGTGGGACTCAAAAGCACATGCCAGATGCTGAACAGAGAGGGCTGAAAGTCAGAGCTGTAGCATGATGCTAAGCAAGGAGGCCAAGGAGAAGTGGAAATCATAATTTCCTACATCAGGCCTTTTGAGTTCCCTTTATGTCACCTTCTACTCCATGAATTACAGCTGGAGAGAGAAAGAATAAGAGTCTCTCAGCTAAAAAGAAGTTAAAGACACAGAAAACCAAATCAGACTTTCTGCCTTCTTGATGAAAGCAAGAACATCCAAGGAAGTCTGATGCACTAGTATTGATGATAGAAAAAGAAATTAAAGAAATTACTCTGCTCCTGTTCCTATCAGCATTAGGTATGCCTGTGGCTCTGCTCTTGGCAGAGGATGCTTGCCCTCTGCCAGAGCCACCGCTTCTTCAGCGCAACGCACACCCAGCCCCCTCTGTGAATGCCATGGGATGAGCAGTGTTGCTAGGCAGGAGGGCGATGCTGCAATTGCACTCGTGTTCACACTCGCTGTGGGCTTTGGAGCCACGGCTGAAGGCAACAGATAAAACTCCTGGTGTTTCAGGAAGAGGTATTTAATGATGGTACCTGGAAGAAAACAGTGTTCAGCTCTAACATATGTTGCCAGCCTGTGCATTGCTCGTGCTGCTCACCGTCACCTTGAAATCTTGCCTGGTCATGCGGCTTGTAGAGAGATGTCTGCAGACTGCAGGAGCTTAATGGTTTCCAGAGGTGGCTTGTTGGGAATTAACCTCATTTGACCTGACACCTATCTCTCAGCTGGCAGCACCTTCACACCCTGGCAGGCACTCGCTTCACAGACCAAGGACAGACCTACCTTATCACCCCTGCTAGGAGAAGCCCAGTGGACTGGAAATCTACTGTTTCTGAGACAGTGTAATTGTGGAGGAAGGACTTTATTACTCAAGGCTGTGTTGTATTGCTTTAATGTCACAATATGTCTGTTGCAACGACGTTCCAAATGAAAATGTACACAGCCTGGTGTCGCAGCCTCTTACCATCTGTGTTCACCCACCGTTCAGAGAGTATTAAAATCTATCCTGCTTTTACTCAGTGGACCAGCCCATCTAAGGAGCAAAGCCATCCTAGGTCAGTGGTTCAAATCCTGCCTACTGGTCTCCTGAGCTAGTAGCAACATGTTGCTGGTGTCTGTCCATAACAGAGCATCACAATACCTGCATTTCACTTTCCTCCCACCTACAACAGCCACTGAGTATCCATGGGGAGCACCAAGTGACAGCAATAACAAGAGTCATCTTAGGGGAGAAACACTCTTATCACTGCTTTCAAAAGGGGATTTCCTGGTGAAAGAGCAAAACTGCTTGAAGTCTCTTTCCTAGTAAAACACTTCAGTGGGGTAGGTACGTAAGTGATAGGTATGCCTGTGGGTTTCTGTCCTGGCAGGCCAGAGAGCCTCAGAGATGAGCCCATGATTCTTAACATGTGACTGGCAAAGTGTTGTATTTTAATGAGAACTGAGACATTTTATTAGCATTTGTTGCTCATTCCTCTCTTTCTTCCACCTGCCCTTCCTAGGCACCATCTCTCCTGGGCACTTTCTGTGCCTTGACACCAAGGCTGAGATCTCAGAGGCATGAAGTTTCCCTGCAGTGCCACAACATGAAGCAGCAGGGTGAGGAGAGGGAAAGGCTGTCCCTGCCCTCTGGGAGAAAGGCTGCAGTGTGAAAATGTCTGTTATTACACACCAGAGAGTGTTCACATAGGAGAGAAACTGCATGAATTCCCCAACAGCAGGACGAGCATCCACAGAGTTCAGCCCACATGTTTTTGTATGCAACTGAACTCTGAAAAGCAGAAATTCCCTGAAGCAATATGGTTACTCTCCTTGAGCCATAGCAGGTGTAGAGGCTGAATGTCTAGGACGCTGAACATCTCCTTCCTCAGTCAGCGTGTTAGTCTGGTGTATGACAACATGCTTTGTCCCACACAGAAGTGTTATGGATAAAGTTCCTGGTTTTGACACTTGCTGAATGTGGGATGTTGGATACGTTGTGTCCCTGGGCTCTTGTCGGCACTTAAATGCCTTTCACCTGCCTTACACCCCTATCTGGGATCCCTCTCACTTGACTATCCACATTTAAAAGCGGGGCGTTTACCCTAAGCTAGTCCATGAGAGTCTGTTTACAGGCAAATGAAAGACACAGTCATCTCCAGTGGGATCTTATGGATGGGTACAGAGTGAATCACTTTCTGGAGGTGCAGATGTTCAGCACTGCC